GAAGGTAGCCAGGGAAAAGAAAGGGGCTGAGGAAAAGCAGGATGATGGTGGGGGTCCCGGCTAGCAGGAGCGGTAAAACGCAGCGGGCGAAGGGGGGAAACGACCTCAGGTGGATGTGTTTGTAAGGGGGCTCTCCAGGGATCAGTGACTGGGACTATAAAATTGCAGTGGATTCAGATTTGCGGATGACACACATTGGTGCTGCATAAATTACAAGGGCATGACCATTGGACCGCGCAGCCTGATCCCTAGGAAATGTGGATCTATTTATTACTATAGTTCAATACTTCAGTGCCTGGAGTGCACACAGGCTCTGGAAAGGACAGGCAAGGCATAGAGTGCAAGTTAGCACGCAGTCGTGTTGCTGTGCAGAAAAAGTGCAATCCTGAGGGAGCAGTAAGAGTGTGTACACCAGCGCTGTGCCAGTACCAGAAAAGTCCAGTACTGGTGAAATACTGAGAGGGTGGAAAAGAAGCACAAGCTCTGCAGAGGTGCCCCACTGAGAGGCATGGAGACCTCCTAAAGGAATTTTGTCTGGTTTGTCTGAAAGATTAACAAATGATAAAAAAAAACAACAACCAAACAAACAAAAAAAACCACCAAAAAACACCAAACCAAAACTGAGTATTAAAGAGCTTCTTAATTTAGTGGAAATAGGCATGACAAGAACCAGGGGCTGGCAAAAGGAAAGGAGCTGAATTAAATGAAGTTGCTCACTTTCAGCTAAGAGGATGATTAATCGCTAGAACGAGTTCTCAAAATAAGGTATTTTCCCAGACACTGTCTAGTCAAATGTGATTAACTGGCTTTTGTGAAGAAGTAACGGGGTAAAATGCCTGTGACAGGTAGGAGGTCAGCATAGCTGATGTAATTCTCCTTTACAGCCTTAGCTCGGTAATCCTGTGAAAACTTATAAAGGTGTCATAATGGATTTCAGCTTGCTGAAACTGTAGAAGGGTCATCATCTTGACTTGAGTGAGGAAATACCCAGCTTGGCTTTTGGATTTCACTGGGAATAAATAATTGGTATTTACGTAGTTCTTTCTATTAATAAATTTTCACGCTTGCAGGAAGGCACATCTAATCTAAAGCCAGATAAACAAGCATAGAGGTGAGGCGTGGCCAAGTGAATCAGCAGCAGACCTGGAAAAAGACTCATGTCTCCTGGATCCCTGGCTGAGTCAGACTTGTTTTCTTGGGAGGACTCAGCTATCTGAGATCCAGCATGTTCTCCAGTCCATATAATTTCTTAACTTCGGATGGCCAAACATGACAACATGAATTAAGCCTAGAATATCACAAAACAGTGTTCTGATGAAAAGCATGAGGCATACTAAGAAATTATATTTTAATTTCTTTCTTTATATATATATATTATTTTATATATATATATATATTTTGTAAATTAGGCTCACATTTACCATGTGATTTCTATGTAAATATAAGGAAATATTTCTGTAAGGCAAGTGTTTGTCTTCATTTAGGAAGCGCTGGCAACACTGGCTTACCTAAATTCACGTAATGGTTTCTATTACTGGGAAATCATTGACATTTTGACAGCACTCCTATTTATTGCTGTCTGAGCACTTAGAGGTCAGAACAGCGAACATGTCGGTCTTCTGTTTCCCATGCTGTCAATCCCAAATGCCTACATTCACTTGAAATTATTCACTTAAATATAAAAGGTTAGTACTTTCCCCTTGATTTTTGGATTGGGACTTAAATGAAGAACGTCCCTTGGTGACAGCTGAGGTAGCTACTTCTGCAGTATTTATGTGATCTTACAACTGCAATTCTTTTGCACATAAGGAGCCTGAGTAATGGGACTTTCTCAGGCTTCAGGTTTTGATCTTACATTCTTGGCATATATGCCATTTGTACATAGTACCAGGAAGATAAGCATACAGATGCTGAGCAAGCTTCCTTGGGACATGAACAAATTAGGTCAGCCTGCTAAGAAATTTAGATTGCTGATTTTAAACAATAGTGATTAAGATGTATGGAAAGGTGAAAATTTGTGTTTAAAGTTCTTTGTATGAGGTGTTTTAAGTTTTATATTTTTTTTAATGATTGATTTGGATGCCTCCTTTATTGGCTAATGCTGAACAAGTGGCTGCAAGGTCTGAATGGAGTCAGCCCCAGTCTTTCCTACGTCCTTGGCCCCGCCTGAGACTCCACAGTGTGCCAGCGACAGCAGGATCATTTGCCATGAGTTGAACTGATCCTGTTGATTTATTTCACATCATATTGCATGGCCACCTTCACATGTCCAGCACCGTGGCAGTAGAGGGTAGCTGAGATTAATCTGTGAGCTACAGCACTTGCATGGGAAATGGAGCCTCTGGAAAGTGCTGTTTGTTTTGGCCAACCCAGATTTAGCACTGTGCTTTATGCCGAGATGCCTTATGGACACCTTTTTGCTATTTCTGGAAGAATTGTTTAGAAATGAGTAACAGAGATGCTGCAGATAGAAGTGTTTATGAGATAAGGCATGAGATTTTTGTTCAAAAGTGACTTGTAATTTGGGTGCCTGCACTGTGAAGCATATTACCAGTCAGGCAGGGAGCGGTGGTGCTGCTTGTTATAGCATCCTGCCAAGGGCTCATTGTGTTTTTATAAAACAGATCCTTTGGATGTGTGGCAAGTAAGGCATCCGAAACTGCTGCCTGCAGTAGCAAATGCTGGCTTCTTGGTGTAACTACTGCCCTAGTGCTGGGTGGGGCTGGTTTGTTCCCCTGACACTCACCGAGGAGGCTTACCTGGGCACAAGCAGGAGCTGCAAAACACGGCCAGCAGATGCCAGCGCCATGGAGAGTATTTGGAAGTCCATTTTCTGTCTTTCTGAGGTCAGATGAGTGCTACCTCTGTTGCTTCTGGCTGCTGACAGCTCCTTTCTGGGAAGAGGTTGCCCCTGTCCTGCCCAGTTTGACCTGTTGAACAGAGCTCTATACCCTGTGCAGTTTATTGCCTGGCAAAAAAATTAAATTCCTTAAATTCCCTACATTAATTTCCTTTTGAATACAGTGTGGCTTAAGCACTTGGCTCGGGGAACAGCCGTGGTGGTGATTCATGGTGATCCACCGTGCCGTAACCCACAGGTTGTACTGCCCGGGAATCCTACCCTAAATTAGCGCTTAGGGAAAAAGTGATTAAAGAAAGGCCTTTTTTCTGTCGTTATCTGTGACAGGGTTGGGGGGACGTTCTGTGAAAGAATTGTTGTGCGATGGCTTTGTAATTGCTGGGGAGAAGTAGTTCAGCGTATAAATTAATTTCACCAGCAGAAAAAATCAGTGGCTGACTTCTGCAAAGGGAGGTTTAAACTTTATCGTTAAGAGACAATTAAACTCTGCCTGGAGTAAAATAAAGGCTCCACGGATATGGAGGCAGAAGAGACTGAGGTTGTGTCTGCTGAGCACTTGGTCTCGCTTACCCTGGCGTGCGTTAGAGCTGGAGTTTTACCCTGCAATTACTCACTCCTGCCTTCACCCGGTCCCCTCGCTGCGTCTTTCCTTCGGAGACAGGATGGCTTTTGTTTCACAGGGTATTTCTGGAATCTTGCGAATGTGATGTTTCTGTGCTTTTAGGCACGAAAGTGCAAATATCACCTTTGTCTATTTGGAGATGAATTTAAATTAAATTATTTCCCTCAGCTGCTCACGTCTTAGTTTTTTACAGTAGCTCTCATTAGTTTGTGCCATTATATTGCCAATAGAAAAATTCATGGTTAGGAGCTTTAGAAAAAATAAAAACAAAACAAGGGAATGATGAGTCTATAGGCATTTTTAAAAGATATTTGTAAATAAAAAAAATTAATGATGGAAAACAGTGCATTCAGCTTTCATGTTATCTGATGATGGTCTCAACCCCGAAATATCGTACTGTTTCACTGTTCTTCACTATATTTCGGTCTTGTAGCTTTATGCTTCCCAGAAGAGTTGAAATAAATACACGGTTACTACAGGGCTTAATCTTACTCTGTTTAATTTCATTTACATATTCTGACTTTCATGACAAACTGTTTTCTAACAACTCTTCTTTTTCTGGTTCATGAAGCAAAAAAAGGTTCATGAATTGCCTTGTTTGCAGTGATGTCAACTGGTCACAATATTCTAGATATTTCTTAAACGTCTCTTAAAGTATGTTACTGTGTTAACAAAAAAAGATACTTGACAAAGAGAAAACAAATGCTTTTCCAGGTATTCTGTTAAGGTAGCGCATAGCTTTGACATCTGTTAAGTGGGTGACTTGTCGCCCTATTTTGTATTACACACCAGTTCAGAGATTAAGCCGTGCTGCAGACTTCTTTGTAAAGTGTCAAACTACTGTTTAACTCTCTGTACTACATCAAGTCAAGTTTTCTATTTATCTCAGTTGCTTCAGTATGTTAGCATTGGTAGCGTTGTTTCTGCTTTCTGGGATTATTTGGGATTTTTCATTTGCTTGTTTTTAGTGTGCTGAAAATCTCACATGTAGTTAGGTCCAGTCAGTACTGTCAGCGTGAAACATTTAGAAGAGGGGTTACCCAGATGTCCCCTGTGAGGCATTAATTAGTGAACTTCATCTTCCCAGAGTCTCCCACCACACCTGGGAAGAAGCAACAGCTACCAGCTAGGTGATGTTGAGCATTAGTCTGGTGATGTTTGGTTCCAAGGGATTGTGTTAAGAGAAGTTTATGCATGTGTGGATGGCAAATTTTATTTATTTCATTTTTGCTAAAACACACCCATCATAAGAAATAAATGAAGCTGCTGTCCAAAACTGAGACTCCCCTGCACAGATCTGCCATTCTCACCTGTTCTCCTTCACATCCCCTGTCCCCCCCAGCTTCACTTCCACGCAGAGCCTTCCACGAGGGCTGGCCTTCCACGGTCAACAAAATCCAATCCCGACAGAAAAATGCAGGAGGAAGCTATACAACATGCAGCTTCTGGTGTCATTTTTATGTATGCTAATAGGTACCTTTAGGTAATATTTTTCAAGGAGATGTGATGTTTTCTTAGCAGGTTGAAGTTGAAGTTTACCGGAGAGATTCTAAGAAGCTTCCTGGCCTGGGAGACCCCGACATTGACTGGGAAGAGAGCGTCTACTTGAACCTCATCCTACAGAAGGTAACAGTGATGCTCATCTAATTTTCATGGGCTATTTATGCTAGAGAGGTTTCAGGGCAGGCTTTGATCTGTCCCCTTTCCTCCCTAGCTTGAGGGATTTGAACACTTCTGGATGACAGAAAGAAAACACGGTTTTAGTTTTGCCTTTCAGAGTCTAAATGAACATAAACTGAGATGTTTATTATTTTTCAGTAGAGTCCTAATAGCTTTCCTCAAAAAACTTCAAATGAAGCCCAGTGAAGCTGGGCTGAATTTTATGCACTGTAACAAAGTTTTTTGCAAAATGGAAGGCTTTGTCAGGTTTAATAGTTTTTGAGAGTGAACGAGACTGTTAGACAAGCAACATTTCCATTAGAGTTCACAATACTGGCGCAGCTAAGAGAGAGAACTGCTAAGTGGAAATGCAGTAAAGGTGCTATGTATTACACTGGGAGTTTGCTGCTCTTGACATCAGAACTTTAATAAAACTTTTTTTTTTGTTGGTAGAAACATGAAGCTAGCACAAATTATTTCTTTAATTAACTCATATGTTGTTTAGTTATTGCATATGTTACATTGGTGCTTAGGGAAGCTGAACGTTACTATAGTAATTCGAGAGCCCTTAAAAGTTTTGTCGATTATGATCTCGGAATGAGAGACTGCTGGCTCATTGCACACATCCTGGAAAATAAATTGTTTTCATTCTCTCCCTTTCCTCCCAAAAGTCTCGTTGCAGAACTTCTCTGCAGAGGGCAGATTCTGCCTTTATTAGATGCTGAATAAAACCAGAATCTGTTTGCTACAGTCAGAATTCAGAGATGCTGTTACAGCTGGGCATTGCTGTCCAGAGCTGTCACGCTTGCTTCTTACAAGTTTTTTCAGATTGTTTGGCAGGCTATGTTAATGGTTTCTGACCTCTCTAATGTGTTGCTTACGTTCATTAGTGTTTCTATTTTTCCCTTTTTGAAGGGAGGATATCTTTTCCGTTTCTACCTTATGTGCTTATGTGTGTGTGTCATGCTTATTCCCCCAGCTGACCAGTAAGCTAGCGTTAAACAATATTGACAGGAGTTTCTTTACCCATAGGTCGTGCACCTCAGCAAGCATCTGTCCAAAAGATTTCAGTATTGCTGAGTTAATAAACACAGGCTTGAAAGTTGTAGGAGTTTCGGTATAGTAAAGAGAATAAAGAAAATGGCAATACCAAATCATGTTACTTTTTAGCCAGACAGCTAAAAAAATTAAGACAGAATGTGTTCTGCCTCATGCACATGAATGTTTTGTTTTTCTAACTATAAACCTTCATTTCTCTATCTGGTGCCTTGTTTTAGCTGGATTATGTGGTGACATGTGCTGTGTGCACACGCTCCGATGGAGGAGATATTCATATTCACAAAAAGAAATCTCAGGTGAGATTACCCTGTTATTAATGTGGATAAGAGATTGGCATACAGTATTACCTAATCCTAAAACGGTATCAAAACCAGGGCAGTGGTTCTCAGGCTGTGGTCTGACAGATGCATCCTTGTGTAGCATCTCAAGTCTTTGTCTAGTGACATTTCCTGCCAGTCATCTAAATGTGAGATCTAAATGTCCTTTATAGCCCCTCTCAAAAAATTGTAAAGACCTCTGCGTGCTTTCAAGATTTATATCTTTGCCTACTGGATTGGGGGGGAGTATGCCCAACTGTTAACCAATCTGAGGGTAAACCCGAAATTGTATGAGACCTGAGTTATGAGAAGCCTTCAGGGTAAATCTGTAACATAGGGCTATTAAATAGTAGACAATTTACTGATTACCAGTTTATCTTTTTATTGTTTTATGGAATTCTTGTTTTCTCTCTTAAACTGCTCATTCCTTGTATCTCCACACCAAAGGCTTTTATCGCTTGCTTGTGTGCAGCATACAGTTAATCCAGGGTTTAGCATAGTGGAGGAGACTGAATAATAAGCGTGGAGGGGACAGGAACAAGAAAGCCCAGACTTCTTCACTCAGTTTCCAGCAGATCTTGCAACAACTTCTCCTAGTTGGCAGAAATTCTTCTTTAAAGGTTCCTGGTGACTTTAAAAGACTCTTTCTCCCAGGCATTTATATTTCTTTAGCTCACTCGGCTGTTTGCATGGCTTTACCTAAAATAAATCAATGGTCTTTAATCCTTTAATTTTGTTCTACCATTTTAAACCAACTGTTGCTTTGCCTATGAACAAAACTAGCAATGCTGATTATTGTATTTGCAATTTGCCTTAGTTAGGCACATAATTCCCTTCTTTTGGTGCTGTTGAGACACCACATTACACTGATGTAAGCCTTTTATTTCTCATTGCTTTTTCCACTGTTTACTAGTCCAAATTTCACCCCGAGTTAACTTCTGCAAAATTGTTTTGAGAAAAATCTGTAAATACTACTTGCAGATTTGAAAACTAGGAAGATGAGGATGAGGGACCTGCCCTCACTGCGTGTAAGCGGTGTTCAGAATAAGGAACGGAGGAAGTTTTCTCTTCCTCATTCCTAGAGGCTCTTACTGTGGGACTGCTTATAAATTTTTCGTTGTCTCCCCTTTTCTAGGAGAAACTCAGCACACATTAAAACTTACCAGTACATACTAGTAACATTTCAACATCATGAAGTTGATCTATGGAGAGAGAAAAGGCAATTCTATATACTGTGGAAAGCATATTTGCAGTAGGGCATTTCATTGCAACATGCACCATTGGGGGTCTCAGTTTTCAATGAACATAAGCCAGCTTTTTTTGATCTATTACTGCTCTGATGGTTCTTGCTTTAGAAAGTGTATATTATCCTGGCAGTGTGCAGCCAGATGTTGAACAGGTAGAAGCCATATTCAAGCACAGGACTTGCTGTGCTACTCCAGTTACCTGTGACAGAGCTACCATGTTCATAGCAGTAGAGTATCTAATGCGCAAAACCAGTGTAAAAAAGGCTGACTTTCCCCTAAATTATTTTGCAGACTGCATTGATTCTCTGCTGGCTTGACAATAAGATATCTACAAACTCTATTTTCCTCAGGTGTGTCTGACTGGAGATGAGTTTGGGGGGCGCTTTTGCTTTATATTGGATGGCATGATAACAAGGATGCCTGGAAAATGTCGTTGTTTCAGGCATTGGTGCAAGTGTCATCTTTGAGGAGTCTTGTTACTTTCCAATGCTGTTTCTTGTCACGAAGCAATCCTTCTTTTTAATAATCTGTATTTAAATGTGCTTGTAGGCTTCATAAGTACAAATAAGGAAAAACAACCCTCTCATGAATATCTAATATCCTACCCTTAGTCATGTTTTGTGTTGAATGGTTTGTAGCAAGAGTATCACAAGCCTGACAATCTGGGCAAATTCAGAGCTTTCAACACATTCACAGTGGGCTAAGATTTGACAGGTTTCTTTAATTCAAAGCTTTGTAAACAGAGGTGGAAGCAAAGAAAGCTACTTGGTATGAATTCTTCTCCCTCTTTACCTGCTTGTTAATCTTGCTGGAATGATAAAATCTAAAGCCTTTAGCTATTTAAATGTAGGTTGTTTTGAGGAGTGAAATGACCAAAGGAGTTCAGGAGCTGCTTCAGAGGGAGGAACGCGCAAGAGGAAGCACAGTGGATAAAGAAACAGAAGCAGAAGATGAGGATGAGAAATCAAGTGCTTGTCCTCCTGAGGGCCATGCTTCCCATTACTGAGTGATGTTGATCTTATCATGGTATTAAGCAAACAATAACAGTGAAACTAACTGTAGAAGCAAATAGTGTTAGGTCAGCTACTCCATGGTAACTTCCTTGCTGTGTGTGCTTTTATTTTGCAGCGCATTGCAGTAACTTAAAGGCAGCTCAAGGTGGTTTTCTCTGTTAATGAAAAGGGAGGATACCTTAGCTGTACCATAGGATGGTGAGAGGTCAGGTATACACAGGGACATTTACTGTGGAGCAGCTAGTATTTGATAACTTGCATGTGAAAACTCAAGGATTTCACAAGTGTTGTCATTATTGCAAAACAGGCTGTAGTCAGAAACCAGCTCAGCTTTGCCTGCAGGGTGTCCAGCATCTCTAGCGTAAGTGAAAGTGTTGGCTGACTGAGCAGTGTTGGACTGTGGTGTTTTAGTATTGCTTGCCTTGTATTCAGTGCATCCATTCCTGAGCACATTTAACTGAGAAGATGTTTGTTTTTTTTTTTTTTTTTCCTCATATCTTTCTCAGCAAGTGTTCGCATCTCCTAGTAAACACCCAATGGACAGTAAAGGAGAGGAGTCAAAGATCAGCTACCCCAACATATTCTTCATGATTGACAGTTTTGAAGAGGTGAGTTCCTTGTTGCAGCAGCAGATTTTTGTCCTATTCTGGTCTTATGTCCTGATTAGCTGTTTTCTTGTACCTTTTGAACAAATGTTCTTGGCTAATTGAGGGTTATCTTCCAGTAGTTCTTATTTTGTTTTATTTGACCTTCCTCTTTCTTTAATGTTTGAAATCTGAGCTTAAAGCTGGATTTTGGCATCTGTCTTTATGACGGGCTAAAGCAAGACAGGCTGATGTGAGAGCTGCTTATCTCAACACATGATTTGCAGCGTGCACTGCCTGAAGTCTGTTTTTGTGAAAGGTTGGGGTGGAGCATACAGCTCCCTTGCTTTCTGCCATTTGCATTGAAACTGCCTTGGGCCCAAGGAGAATCATGGGAATCTGAATATATTTGAACTTTTAACAGCTGCAGTTTGCCTTGAAGTGTTTCATCTTGCATCTTTGGCAGGTTTTCAGTGACATGACTGTGGGAGAAGGAGAAATGGTCTGTGTGGAGCTGGTGGCCAGTGACAAAAGCAACACCTTCCAAGGGGTGATTTTTCAGGGGTCCATCCGCTATGAAGCACTCAAGAAGGTCTACGACAACAGGGTAAGGTGCTTCTGAAAGACAATGTCCTTTGCAACAATAATACTCTGATGATAGTTTTTCTTTGCTGCTGAGGCTGTTAGCTTTTTGTCCTGTTAGATCATCTGCATTGTAGTCTGTCTTTTTTGGCTCTGAAAGTTACCTGAAAGCTAATGCTTTTGGCTCAGACAGCTGAGAGTATTCAGATCAGAATATATTACTCTGGTGTTTGCCAAAAGGAGTGAAGTTGATAAGTAGTCAAGAGTGTGACATAGGAATGGATCTGAATAACAGAGTTCTGGGAGCCCCTTCATTTTCTTGAAAGGTCATAGACGTTTATAGTTCCTTCAGAGAAGGCATGTTTTGCAGGGAGATCTTAAACTCTGATAACTGCCTTGCTATATGTAAAATGTGGTTTTCTTTAGTGTGTTTTGTACTCAGGGCTATTTTCAAAAGACCACTGTAGTTTCACTGTCACAGAAAGAGGCTTTCTTTGCTTTCCTACAGAAACATGAAATGCCAGCACTTTCTTGACTTCAGCATTAAGTACTGCATTTGAAGTTGAGAGTGCAAGAGCCAATAAGCTTCTCAAAGTGTTATGAAGACAGTCCTGAGAGATTTAAAAAACAAACAAAAATCCCCTCAATACCTACTGTGACTGTAAACTTCATTTCCCTTTGTTCCTACCCTTGTCAGGAGAGGTCCTGAATAATTTCCCTTCTCCCTGTTGTAAATGTGAGTAGTTATACTCTTCTAGCAGTTTCTTGAGAGAACATGAAACTGAAATTGTTCTCTGTCCCACCATCATCTTATGGCCTCACGCAATCAGCAGGTGGGTTATTAAAATAAATGGGAATGCCAAAGACAACATAAGAAAAAAGCCCTGCAGAGGAAAGACAAGATTTGATGTGGTAAAGTCACCTCATAGCCTAGGAATGTCCTGTTTGACCATGCAGTTACTTTTCGTTGTTCTGTTAGACGAAATAAAATTGTTAGCTCTTCAAATACTCAATTATGGCCAAAGGCAAAACTTGAAATTTGACCATTCTTTTCACAGAACAGAAGCAATCTCTCTATGCGTTTGAAGGTTACTTGATTTCAGTTGTGTCTGTATTAATTCTTAGTACAGTATGAGTTGTGTTACATGATGAGCATCTTGGCCCTTTCAGGCTATAAACTGCTGAAAGTTGTGATAAACCACTTAAGCTTATGGACAAGTCCTATGTATTTCACTGGGCAAAACCTTGACTGTTTTCATATTGGTCTGTTCCTTTTTTCAATTCTCAGTTCAGTTTTCAGTTCAGTTGTGTTAACTGGAAATTGAGCCCTTCTGTCTGTTGAGAGGGTTCAAAAGCTGTCAGGGTTTTGCAGTGAGCAATGCAACGCAGGTTAGTTGTGCATGGGGACTGGTTCTTTATGCTTTGGCCTTGACAGTGTGGACACAAAAATGTCTGAATTGACTGGCCACAAAGTAGTGCCAGAATTGTGCAGTGCACTTTGCTAGTTTGAAGCATCTTGTGTGCGTCTATTGCTTTTTGGACTCAAACAAGTGTCCCTGCACAGGCTGTGTTGAGTTTTGCACGTGCCTGCTTGTGCTCTGGTGTGCCACACTGTGTGGGCCTGGATAAAAACCTTTTGTTTTATCTCAGCGTGCCATTGGGTAATTCTGCCTTTTGGATAGGTGTAGGAGTTGATTCTCCTCTGAGCTTCTGTTTTTGTATCTGTAAAACTGCTTCCCTTTTGGAGATCACTTCAGATTGTGGGTTAAAATGCTTCTTAAGGGTCAAGATAATGATCATTATCCACTGTGTCTTTCACTTATTCTTAGATAACTGCTTTCAGAGAACGTTACTTTTTTTGAAACATGGAGATGATATTGCATGTTTTTCTCTCCTGTCTTGATGCATTGTAGGTGAGTGTTGCAGCGAAGATGGCTCAAAGAATGTCTTTTGGCTTTTATAAATATAACAACATGGAGTTTGTCCGAATGAAAGGGCCACAAGGGAAAGGACATGCGGAGATGGCAGTGAGTAGAGTTTCTACTGGTGACACTTCGCCATATGGGACAGAAGAAGATTCAAATCCAGAATCTCCAGTGCATGAGAGAGTAAGTAGCAGACAGAAATACTGACGTAAGGTTAAGCATGAACATGTTTTGTTCCAAAGCCAATAGATGGACTGAAGCTGGGATTAACTCATTAAGTTTCTGAACTTAGGTTTGGTTGTGTATATTTTGAACATATTGAGTATATGCAGATGGATTTTTAGCATGGTTTCTCTGGAGCAAATACTGAATACAGAGATGACTGGATGATTCATACTTCTGGAGGAGTGTTTTGTTGAAACAACAGCAATGTTGATGCCAGGGAAAAGGATGGATCTGCCTGTTTTCTATGAAAATTAATAGATTCCGTTTCTGGACAAGATGGGATTTACCTAGAAACATGGAATTTGTATGTTATGTAGGTTGCTTGCTAAACCTCACAGGAAATGGTACTGTTAGGACATTTTGGCACTGATGAATGATGCCAGTGCAAAACCTGTATAATATTAAAGCGAAGAGTATGGATCTAGATGCAGTACCATATTTATGTATATGCTTAATTTTAATGCAAGTGCAGTAAAATACCAATAGAATCAGTCCATAGATGCTGATTTGGCCCTTATTCAGTCCTGAGCCTTGTTTTCCATTAAGGCATTTTACCTAGTTAATGGGGATTAGGCAACATGTCTTCAAAATACCTGCACAGATGTATCCTGACCTGGGCTGAGAAGTTCCTGATGGATTCTAGTCTGGTTTCCCGTGTAACGTAGCTAATCTGCATAGTTTAATGGTCTGCAGGACTGCTTCTAAAGGTCTCCATACAAGCTGTGTGATTTTTGTTTCTGGCTTCCTAAAAGGCAAAATGAGCTGCCAGCACAGAGCTTGTTAACTGGATGTGCATGCTCTCTGCAATAGAGATACAGCCTGGAGAAACCAGGCCTAGAGGGACTTCCTGATCTTTTGGCTCCAAGACTTCGTGTCAACTGGAAAATGTCAAAATACATGTGATAATGTATTTATCATTGCTTTTTGCTAATGGTTTTAGTGGTGATTTGTCCATTTCTGGTTTTCCCTCCAGGTGTGATATGAAATGGCTTCAGAATTAAAAATAGAGACAAGCACAAATTAAAGTGCACAAGTGCACTAAAGAGAGGATCGGTTGGGTGGTAGAATGCTTCCGTGGTTTGGGGGGTTTTTTTGTGCTTTTTTTTGTGGTTTTGTTTTGGTTTTTGTGGGTTTTTGGGGGGTTTGTTTGTTTTGGTTTTTTTACATTAACGATAGAGGGGTGACATATAGAGTGTTTCTGCAGTGCAATGCCAACCTGGCTTGTCTGTCATCCTCCCTCACATGTCACCTTTCTTCTTATTGGTGTGGACAGATGTAGGCAATATCAGATCTCATCTCAGGAAGATTTATGGGATTATTAAATTAATTATTTGAAGAAGGAAGGATGAGATAGAAGTTGCTGACCTCCATTAGCAAAGTAGTTGTCCCTATTTTTTTTTTAATTTGAAATGAAAGTATTAAAATATTAATAGCAAAACCAGTACATAAGCACTGCATTTCAATTCTTTTTGAAATAGATATGGTTGACTATAACTATGGTTTATGCAAGAGTAACTACTGCTCTGAATGGTGAAACTATACCTCATGTTTGCCAAAGAAAAGAAGATGCACTATTTTAGTATGTCCAGAACAACACATTTTTAGCCTGTTAAGTCTTCTGAATTTCAACGTGCAAAAAAATAAGATTGACATTCTTGGTGCCTAAATTATTAATCTGTATTTTGCTCCTTCATGACTGTCAATCGTTGTTCACAGTGATCAGCTGAGAAGAGAGGTTTTTCATTATTCACGTAACAGTTGAGGGTGATGATGTATCAAAATGTTTTCATCTTGATGAGCATCTTGAAGCTGAGATAACTGTTCAATTGACGTTCTCTGGCCACTCTGATAAAGCTTACAGCTAGACACCAGTCATGATTCTGATTTTTACACATGTGACTGCCTTGTGGCACATCTTTGAGACTGATTATTTCTTACTAGAAGCATAGAACTTTTGAAACAAAACTTTCTCTAGCATTTCTTCTATTTCCCTTTCAGGTCACTTCTTTCAGCACACCGCCAACCCCAGAACGCAACAATCGCCCATCCTTTTTCTCCCCATCCCTCAAGAGAAAAGTGCCCCGAAATCGAATTGCTGAGATGAAAAAATCCCACTCAGCAAATGACAGCGAGGAGTTCTTCAGAGATGATGATGGTGGAGGTGAGAGAAGTAATATCAGCTAAACAGACTTGTCTGGAGAGAGCGCAGACCTATGGAAAGGGATCCCAATGCTGGATTTCCCAAAAGGTTTGCAGTGTGAAGACCTAGCTCCACAGAAAGTCTAGCGCCAGTGCCACTCTGAAAATGGGGTTATTCACAGGCTTAGCATCTTTTTGAAGGCTGGAGACCAACAATTCCTACATATGTTTAAAACTTATCTCCCCCTTTTATGTAGACCCATTTGAGAGAAACTTGAGCTGGAAAGAACCTGCCCCTCTCACAGGTACCACGATCTCAGGTGGCACTCTTCCAGGTATCACAATGTAGTGGGGTAGAGCATGCTCTCATGGGCAAGTTCTCTGAATTCCCTGATTAGATCCAGAGCTGGTTAAAGTTGGTGAAACGGCATTTACTTCGACTGGCTTTGGATCAGTTCTGAACTCTCTAAAAAGAAAACCTAATTAATTTGTTTATATAATGGTTTAACGCCTTGTGGAACCATTCCTTTGAATTCTAGTTACTCAGTATGAAACCACCAACAAGATAAAAAATTGAGTCTTGAGTCTAATTCAGAAATATAGTGTATAAATCCAATTATATCGAAGTTTTGTTAGGCGGGAAACTCACAGATGTCGAAGTCCAAACTGCTTTTCATATGTTTAAAAACAATTCAGTAGAAAAGCCAGAAAATCTAACTATCTGTTGGCACGCTAATAGGTAAACACAAAGGCAATTTCCAGATTACGAGTTCTGTTTGTAGTAGTGAAGGTATTAGCCATCAGCGATACTGTATCAGCTTAGCTAATGAGAAATTGCACCTTATAAAATAAGCTTAAGGGAAAAGATTTAATTCAAATTCTGTGCAACTTAAACTGTTGTAACTAATTCAGAGTTCCATCAACAGAAACCTTTTCTCATCTCTTTTTCCTTAATTTGCCTAGTCAAAACATCTGTTATTTCAAATGAGATATGTTTTAGCACGTTTTACTAGGCAAAGGGTGGGGCTTGCATGAATTACTACGTAGTGCGGGGAGAAGGGCAGCTTTTGCAGATGGAGTCCTGCTTTTGATATCTTTCTCCTGGAGGGTGCACAGGATAGAAAGGATTTCAAAGCATTTATCCAGCAGCCTTCATAGGTGGTGGTAGTGTCTGCTCAGTATTGTTTTGCAGGGTCTGATCCTAGCATACATAATCATAATGATGAACATTCTTCTTATTTTCATTTTCTTTTCTTTCTAATATATTTATGGAAGTGAACGAATTCCAGGTTTTCCAGACATTTTATAGCACACACATAAAATACTGAGAAGTGTGGTTTCACTTAGTTATAAATGTTTTGACCTTATTGTTCCTGGTCCTAAAGTGGAATATTTTAACAGCTTATGCTAGGAAGTTTAATTTATTCACAGATGAGATTTCTACAAGGAGAAGGAACTAAAATGAGATTTCTTTACAAATTTCAGAAACCTGAGTGTCCTACCAGTGTTTGCTCAGGAGCTGCAGTGGTGAAATTCTCATTTCAGGGTGGGAAAACTTCAGTTCACCTAGTGATGGAGTTTTGTAGAAGCAGAGATATTCTGGGGCACCTTGGCCTCGTGGGTGGAGGACAACTTGCTTGTCTAAAGATCAGCAGTGTCCTTGGTCTGGCCAGTGCTGCCGCAGACCTGCCAGCAGTGCAGACAAATGTGTTGTGGACAGGAACAGCCCATGAGGGCCCACTTTACTTGCTTTTGCTGTCTGCAAGCATGGTACAGCAGAAGAACTGCGCTTATTTCAGCTACTGGAGTCAGGTCTTTCTGTCCTGATCACCACAGTGCTCTTGGCATAGTGGTAATACGTGGGGAGAGGGAAGAGACTGCTTGGGTATACACATTTACAGGGAAGGAGGGAAAACAAGATACAGATTTCTTCCCCCCCCCCACATTGTCCTGCATCTTGCTAGAGTACCCGCCACTATGTATTTTTCCTTTGCTAGGGCCTCTTTGCGTGGATCAGGACCCGCTTTTAAACAAATGAGTCCCAGAGCTTGGACTGCTCTGGATCAGAATTGTTGTGTTCACTTCAACATCTGCTTTTAGCACTGTGGGACAGGGCTGAGTTTTACAGGGGAGTGGAGGGAAAGTTTAGAAACACTCAAAATATGTGGCACGTGCATTCCTGGCTGTGGGAGAGACGTGCAGCTATAAAAACCACCTCTAGCCTACAGTGGATTCAGCATCCTTTTGTTTTAAAAGTTATTTGTGGACCGCTAAACTAGTTATGGGAAGAGTGGCACTGCTGAAGGGTCCCAGGTTTGGCTTGGGGGACGCATGGAAATTTGCAGTAAACTGGCTTATTAACACTGACTTTCCCCCATCTTGTAGATGACAATTTTCTTCATAAGATACAATTTTCCTTCTGTTACACTTGTGAATTTCTGCACGAGCAACTACTTAATAGGGATATTCTATCATTTTGTATATGAGGGAAGGCTGGGTAAGGATTATGCTTGTGCAGTGTGGTAGAAAAGGCTTCATTCCCTCTCCTGGCTGGTCTGTTAGTGGATAATGGTTTACTACTACTGCCAGCTGCTGATATAATTCATTACCTTCAATGTAAATGGTGAATTTTGTGCCGGGCAAGATCTGAGTAATTTTAAAAAAAAAAAAAAAAAGTAATAATCGTGACCTACATGTGATTTCTCTCTAGACAGTGAATAGTTTCAGAAGCTTTCATTGGGTCTTCCAATAAAATGCAGAAAGTGCAATCACTTTAAGCTTGCTATCTTCTACCTTTACAGACCTGCACAATGCGACAAATCTGAGGTCGCGGTCCTTATCTGGAACAGGACGGTCTCTGGTGGGCTCGTGGCTGAAGCTGAACAGAACAGATGAAAACTTTCTACTCTATGCACACTTAACTTACATCACTTTGCCATTGCATCGAATTTTAACAGGTGAATTTTAACGTGTGTTATGCATAAACAGAGAGTCCTTTGATGCCAAGACAGCCTTCCATGTTGTGGGATTTTGCTGTTAAGGTAGAAGAACAAGTATTTCTCTGTAAGGGAAATACTGTAGCATCAAATCAGTGTGAACAAGTGGAATGGTGTCAACCTGTTTTCTGGCTTTGGGCCGGTTTTGCTTGGTGACGATTCAAACAAGTTGGTAGATTGTTCTAACAAACTTCCAGAGGAACACTAGTTGATTTACTACTGGAATTCAGACTTCGTCCATCTCATGAGTGCAAGGCAACTCATTGTGAGCCCATCCACTGACAGCAATAGTTGTAGCAGGGACCTGTGACTGAGAGGGTTACAAAAAGGCAGCTCTGGAATTTGGAGTGGCCTCCTTTGCCAGTTCTGACTCTTAGATTTAATTTCCGTTTAAGTTGCTTGGACTGATCAGAGTGCCTACACTGATGCCCATAAATCTGTCAAGTGTCCAGTGTCTTTAACTAGACATAATGATGTTTGTGGGTTCTACCATGAATAATCAGAGTCCCCCATGTTGTTGGTCTAGCTCTGCCAATTACTACATTCATGATGGCCAACTCTACATTTGTTCAGCTGGGCTAGGATAGCACAGTAAGTTGGGTTTTACAATCTGTAGGCAGTACTGAAGTTTTGATTTTCATCCAGATAGCTCTTGTCTGCCTACAAATACAGGTGGACTAGAGAAAACAAGTGGTCTGTTTGAATTCTATCCATCAGCATGCCTGCTAGCCTTTCAGGGATACAGCTTGCAGTATGAGGGTGTCCATGGGACTCTTGAGATAACGTCTGAAAACTGAGAAAGCAGCAGTGGTTAAGGACTTTCTCCTCTGTCTAAATGCAGTGGCAGTTTCTTTCATGTAGACGTTACTAGTGTTACTATCCTTTCTCTTCGTTCTTCTGGAAGCCCTGAAATGTCTTCTTATTGACCATTGGGGGCAGAAAGAAAGTTTGATCCAGCTGCACAGCAGTATCTTAGACAAAACTGTTGCTCAACTCCAAAATCTAGACCAGAATAAAGTTATGATCCCAGAGCAATGTAAAGTCCTGTTTCTTAACCTTGGAAGATCCTTATAACTGCTACTTCCTCTAAGAACTTAATCTTTTTCCTTCTCTTCCCATCCAGCAGATGGGATGACTTCTGAATAGGTTTGTCTGGATTGTGGGCTTTTGATCTGTGCCTGCTTTTTCTTGTCTGGGTCTAAAAAGAGAACACACCTGAAAACAAAACCAATCAATTACACAGTGGTTATTTCCAGACTGTTCCTGAAAGGTAGCGAAGAGGAAAGGCGTTGGGAAATCTGTTGTTAAACAGGTTAATCTGCTGCTAAAAGAGATGAGAAGATAGTATGGGTATTAATGTCATCAGTTGTACGATGCTGATGTAATAGTAATAGCTGCAGGCTTCTCATTTGCAGGCTGAGATCTCAGAGCCTGTTGCAAAAGTGCACTGGCTCTTACTCTACAAAGAAGGAAAGTGTAGCTGATAAGGTAGAGGTGGAAATTATACTTAGCAAAGAGGTGTTTCTACATTCGCCCTTTCACTGTATGTAAGGATTGATTTCAATTTAGGAGAAATTACAGATGCAGTAAAAATTGATCTTCTGTAATTAAGGGTGGATTTTGAGCAAGGTTTCAGCAAAATACGTAATTATTCCTTATGATAATTGTGTTGATAATCTTACAGCTGGTTAGCTGGAGTTATCAAGTTCACTCACTGTCTCACCACAGGCATTTTGGAGTTCACAGAAGATGTATTGTTCCTGCTGGCATTTAATACTCGCTCAAGTGGGTGGCATAAATTCCTCCACGCTCAAATATTTGCTTTGAGCTTGAACATCCTTTCTGAGACTTAATTTGTTTAACATACAGTTGCAGGAATCGGTGTGTGTACTGAGATGCACAGAAATAGGACATGAAATGTCTGAGCTGTAAGGCAGAATTTTAATCTGCAGTTTTTCACTACCCGCGTTTGCTTTAGCTTGGCGCATCAGGTGGAGACTTTCCAGTGCCTTTTTGTAATTAATGCATTTGCGCCAGCGGCAGCTTTCCAGCAAGCGGGAGCATTGCACGTGGGGCAGGGTGAAGTGGGAAAGATGTTCATCTCCCTTGCGTGGCGTAGGAAGCCTGTACTAAGAAATTAAAATCCTAGTGATAGTCATCAAAGTCCTTTTTAAAATGTCTGGAGTTCATATATATTGATAAGGCTTCCTTTGCTCTGAGCCTTCTCTCCATGCTAGATAATCCCAGTTCTCTCAGCCTCTCCTCGTATGTCAGATGCTCCAATTCCTTAATCATCTTCGAGGCCCTTCACTGGACTCACTGCACTGTGTTTCATTCTTTCCAAGGGTGGCTAGAGCCCTCTGGAGCTGTAGATCAATTTTTACTCACGTCATCGTCTTTGTGCAGCTGTGTGTGATCAGCCTCTTAATTAAGCGTGTGCTCCCTTTTCCCATGTTCTTTATTCTCTGTGCAGCCTTGAAAAGGACACAGTAGCTCAGTTTCCAGATATTTCTATGTACTGCCGTGCCCGCACGCGGGGCTTACTGTCCACATTTGGAAAGATGCCCATGATTATGACCGATACTTTATGGGTTCATATTCTGTCACATTTGGACACTATGGAACTGAGGAGCCAAGAAAAGGAGTGGGTTTTCTGGCAGCTTTTTGAGTGCAGAAATGTAGGCTTCAGACTATAGAATGGATGAAACAGTTGAATTATTTCTGTGTCTGTATCTTCAGAGCCAAAAGTCTCTCTAAGGGTCTTTTCTGCCTTCAAGAAAGGGAAAACCCTTGGCATCGCCTGTAATGGCACTTCCGCTTGTTTCTCTGGAAGATTACGCCACTCTGTCTGACACGTGTTTCTTCATCCAGCTATAAACGGTACTTAGTAGATCAGCTGTCATCTATATGTGATGGGATATATCTGCAATTTACCATCTCTCAACTAGGATGCAGCTGGGAAGGAATGAAATAGGACTTCGTTAATAAGCAAAGTCGCATGCTCGTTGTGCTTTAAATTCCCTTAGGGGCGTAGCAGGGGGTTTTGTGCTGCAGTCCACAACCGCATCTCTGGTTCTTTGTGCTTTCAGGCACTGTGTCTACTTTCAGGAGCGTCCTAAGTTTGCTGTATCTCTTTGTTTCTCTCCCTTGCCCAGATATCCTGGAAGTGCGGCAGAAACCAATTCTGATGACATAGCAGAGAGCGGGCACTGCCTTGGAGCCTTGTTGCCAAGTGCCTAACCACAGCGGTTTTCTGTGCTAACACTACCATCTAGTGTCAGGAACATAAACCTCCGCAGGAAAAAGGGAAGCCCAAGAATACCAGCCGATCAAAAGTGCCTCTTTCTTCCTTCCTCTGCTGTCGTACACCGTATGCACACTTGCAGTACATCGCTTGAGTGTTTCTGACTGGAAGAGGACTTTCAGCAAGATAAAACGAGAAGGGGCTGTGTTTAAAACGAGTCAACGCTTTATGGACAGTTTGTTACTGTGTTTACTTTATAACTAAGAAACCAACAATATGTACAAAATGTGTTAAACTTTATATTCTTTGAGAGAAACAACCTGGGAATTTCATAATGATGTACTAATGAACATCGTTCCATAGACTCTCGCCCATACACTCTCCTTGTCGGTTTGGCTTAATGTGTGTGTGAGTGCGTGTGCGTGCGTGTGGGGATTGAAAGGATGAGAGAAGGAATTTCCTACTGAGGGAGGAAAAGGAAAAAGATGCTACAAAGATACATTGCCATTTTGGTATATGCAGCGGGTCAGGTCAGAGCTTAAGAGCTTAAGAGGCTGAAAATGTTCCCATTTGTTCGTGTGTCAGTGTTAGGACAGGTGAACTCTGCTGACAGATTTCTGTATCTACCAAAGAACAGCAACATTTTCATCCTCAAGAACTGGCTAAGAAAATGAGCCAGTGAAAAGAAGGCTAAAATGTGCTGCTATAGTAAAGCCGAGGTTCATAGCCAGTACTAATGCTGCTTATCTCTCTCTCTCTCTGTTAGCTGAGTCGATACGAGTTTGAGTCTGAAGTGGAAAAATAGGAGGCCGTAATCAGACTCCAAAACCTGAAAACCTTACCAATAACCAACATCCTCCTGCATGCACTGGACTTCAGAGTACATAAGAGTTGTCCTTGCGGTAGCATTTGTAGCCAAGGAGGGCATGAGAGCTGATTAATGGTCGGGCAGCTTGCCCGGATTCTTCATTTGCCGGTGGTGTTCGCTGTACTGTTACATGCCGAAGTACGGAGAGTTTTCTTGAAAGACAAAAGATTGAAATGTAATTCTGCTCTGAAAAGTGACTAAAAGTTGCATAGTGGGAGGTCTGAAAATTGTGTGTCAGGAGCTCTCAGGAAAAAAGCCTTATGTTTACAGGTAAAATGCAGCTTTCTCTAAATAGCAGAACTCTGCTGTCCTTGACATTTGAAAGCTAAATGATTGAATACGGAGACTACTGCAGTCTGGTTCACTGTTTTGATATGGCAGCCAGTCAATACTTCAGTTTATTTATGACTGGCACAGCCATGGGTGGGGTAGCGTGTCACTTAGAGCATGTGAGACTCCAATATATACACAGAGGGAGAGCAAAGATGCTGTTTTTGTCACTTTTCAGCCTCTGAGCACCTAAACTTAATGCTGTTGCCACAGTTACCAAATGGCGTGTGCTCTGGGCCTGGACCTTTGTCTCCCTCATACCCAGCCTTTCCCAAAGTGCTTTGTTGTTGTTCTCTCAAGAGCATCTGATGACTTAACCTCTCAAATAGGACTTTCTGCTTTTTTTTTCCTCAGGCCAGGTTCCATGGGAATAGCTCCACTTCAGCATAAAGGTAGACTAACTTTATCATTCAGCCCAACATGGTGAATCCAGCATGGTAAGGAGGTCTTTTTTTTGTTTGAGGCTGGGCCTGGAAGCAGTCACCATAGCGCAGAGTGATGGCATTTCTAACACCGGCAGCATGAGTGCATGACAGGGACGGCTGACCAGTTTTTAGTTTGCTTCAAATGTGTTGCAACAGCGTTAGAAAAACGTTCATTTTGTCATTACCAGCGCAGCCACTTTTCACGTTGCAGCCTTTGAACTTTGCTCCATTGGGGCGTGCAGTTGTGCGTGTGCGTATGTGAGGGTGTTCGCGCAGTCTAACCTGAGGCATGTAACTTGGGTGCCTAGGCTTTCTTCCCGAGCCAGGGGAAGAGGTAGAGTCCTAAATCAGCAGCTAAATCAGTGCCCTCTCAAGAAACTTGCTAGGCAGCCTAGGTGCTTGCCTGAGATCCCTAGGTAGTGTGCCTAATGTCAGTCAGTACAAATATTCTCCCTATACCCGTGCTGAGAATTAAACCACTCTTCAGCTAGAAGACTGGTCCTGTGCTGAAGCCTCTCAAGATGCTCCTTTTTCTGAACTTTCGTACTGCTGGGGTGGGCAAATCGGTGCTCAGTTTTCCTTTAAGTATTCATTGGAGAGGGAAGGGAGAGAGAGGATTAATATTTGTGCTACTAGTGACAATTGATACCCTTCAGTCAAGCAGCCAGAGGAATAACACACGTGAAAAGGAAACGTATCCAGATTGGAACCTGGGTCGTAGGTGCCTGAATACTTCTCAGTCGACAGCAATTTGTAATGCTTTCTTGGTATCGTGTATAAATTATGTTTAGGTAGCTTAATTTCATGTGATCTGAAAGACTGAGCAAATTTTGCTGCGTAAGATTTCAGAGCAAATGAAGAATGATTCTAAACTAGTACATTAGTGTAAAGGCAACATTACAGAAAGTACAGTTCAGATCCCACATCTGTTATGCAGGAGGTATCATCTGCTTTGTTACATGTACGTGGGTGGATTTTGATGTCTAGTTTTTGAAGGGCTGCAATGTAAATGTCCTAAAAATAGTCAATTTATTTCTTGTATCTTGCTAGTGGGTATGCTATAGGTACGCTGAAGACTCGCCTTTTTTAGTAGAAAAGGGCTACAGGTATGCCCAGACGGACATCCGTAGAAAACAGAGGTCAAAAAGTCTACCGAATGTCAATAGTGCTTTTCAGAAACAAGTAGATGTGCCACATTCTCAGTTATTCCTTCTCTAAACGACTGACTGAGACTTCTTATGTATAGCCCCTGGTTCCCGCTTTCTGTTATCAAGTGGGGGGAAACAAATTCTGTGTTTTGTTCTGCTTTTAAACAAACCCCGAAAATGATAATTTATTGTCCTCGTATAGACAGATTGATAGGGAAGATGATAAAAGTTTTCCTTGGGTCAAGATGACGCAGCTGAGCCCTTAACATGCTATTGCACTATACCGAAAAAGAAAAGGGAATGTTAATAGGAACTCTCACCCTTTTAATTTGGAGGGGTTTTTAATTCTGTAGCTCCTAAGCAGTAAACCATTTTGAGCCTCTGTTGGCCATTTCAATAATTGCTGAGGATGAACTGGAGTGTTCTGCATCCTATAATGGCTGTATGGCTGTCAGTGTTTTAACTGTTGGAGCACAGTGGTTTTCTTTACTTATGTTGATGCTTGAGAAAGCAGCACGGTTAAGAAATTTGTGAAGCTTTGCAGAACAGCTTTATTTATTTACAGAACCCCACCACACCTCATTACTCCGTTAACTTCTTCCATCGTTCTGCCCATTCACTCCCGCTGGAGATTGAGGCTTACTACTTGAACTGTCCATAGATGATGTATATTGATAGATGTCAAATGCAAGGATGTAAATCTTTTCACCCTTAACGGATTTTTCACTGCTATCAATTTAACAAGAAAAAAGCCTTTGTTTTTTAAGGAAGCTCTTAAATCAGTTCTTCTGTATTAGCAGATCATTGCCCTGCCTTAGAGACCACCGTGTATGTGAAATCACGTTCTCTTATTGCCAGCCAGCACAGGGTGGGTTCCAAGTCTCCTTGTAAAAGAAAAGCCATTTTTAGAAATGCCACAAATCTTTCAGCTGTCTTGGCTAATCCAGTTTGTTGTGGGTTTATGTTCCTTCTCTTTTTATTCTCCCGGTCTTTGTTGTTTACAAGGCTTAAGCATGTTGGGCTCTGGATCGCTGTTACTCAGTTTTCCATTTCTGGGCACAGTGTGCTTTCCTGAAAAGAGAGTTGTTTGCACAGGTGACTTTTCATAGTAAAACGGTTTTCCCAAAGTATATTCTTACATCGAGTTTTAATTTAAACAGTGAAGTCCTTGGCTCTGCAGACAGGTTTCTTCCGGCAGACCCTCATGTACAGAATCCCATCTGGTCACTGAGGTGCTGTATGGATGCGAAGTCCACATAAATAGTCTACACTTTTAGACTATTGACCTGCTTCTTGCCAATCATTAATTTTTCCTTTTCCAGATGATTGCTTGTTCTGTATTTTGTAGTCTAAAGCTTCCCCTTATTAAAGACAGATATAAGATAAAATCTTCAGAAGTGCCTAAGCCCTGTTGTTATCCAGCGGGGTTTAAGAACAAATTTTTATTTAGGAAATGAATAAAGTAGTCTTAAATTCTGTGTTGTGTGTAGCAGCGTCAAGAAATGACAAGTTTATAGTTATCGGAAGAACTGGCCGTCTCCTATGGACTCACCCTTCGTGTTTGAAAGACTCTCATGGTCTCCTAAGGTCGTGGCTGAAAGCTCTGGAAAATGGAGTTCTTGTGATCACAGCAGTCAGATATCTGCGAATGCCTTATCTTGTTTTGTGAGGTATGACTGAAAGTGTGTGGCGCTGGTGTGTAGAAATTCTGTGTCAAAAACAGGTGCGGTAGAATCCAGTTGCAGGCATTGTGAAATAAATAGCTTTTACACCAAACCTTAAACGAAAGAGTATTTTACACCAGAATGTAGCTGTTTGGATGCTTGGTCAAGATAATACAAGGCTGCAAGCAGGTTACAGTGTTGAACGTTCTCTGTGTAAATATATAAATATTCTCAGCCTAATTTTATCAGACTAACACGTGTTGCATGGTTTGGGTTTTTTTTTTGCCTCATTGATCATCAGTGTTGATTAAAAGATGATGGGTTGAAAATCATGCTGGTGCTGTACTGAGCCCTTTGAACAAAGCGCAAGGAGAACCTTTGTGCACCAAAAATGGAGTTGACTTTGCGTATGGCAGCAGTGCAGAAAGTGTTGGACCCTGCAGCCAATAAACAGACCTCTTAAATGACCATGAATTTTGTTAATAGTGTTTTCTCTCTACTGTGCCTAGTGGCGTTTCAGTTTGAATGTATTCCTTACTGGTGGCAAGCATGAACGGTGGAATAACACTCTGTGGCACTCACAGTAAGCATTGCCAAATAGACGCTCATGAGGCAACGTAGCCCCTTCATTCTTATTCCGCTCTGAGGGAAGCCCAACTGCTGACTCTGAATCTTTCAATGATCAGCCTCTGACAACTTGACGTTGTATAAGGGGGAAGAAGGTAAAAGTCCGTGTACTCCTGAATTTGTTTAAAAAGGCTTTTTGGTTTTTCCTTTAGATGCTAGCATTAAAAAA